CAGAATACTCGTTCTTTGGTTTGATAGGCAGACATCTCTCCTACGCCACAGGCAACGCAAGTTAGCAAAAACCAGCTGAAGTTTCTGAAACCGTGCCAAGATTCCATCAGACAAGATGTCTGACCACTAGTTGCTTCCTAGTCCCAGCTGTACTATCGTCAGTTTGTGAAATGTTTCTGCATTGTTTTATTACCCTTCAGTACAATTCGTTTAGTCAAGATAAAGCTGAAAGTAATAACAGTTCATGAGTTTCTTTTTTGTATTGTAAACAACTGTCTTATATGTGATGCTTTATCATACATCACGTTAACACATTCCCTGGAAAAGTCTAGCACTAACCAATATGATTAGATTAATCAGTAAAACTTGGATGGCAAATATCTCAAAAATCTTAGTACGCAAAATTGAAATAATTTCAAATGTGATGTTCTTAGTCAATTTCACATTGTGTGCGTAGACTATTCACTAACGCCATTTAAAATTGTTAAAAAAAAAACACCTCAAGTACAAATAATATTAATCAATCAATTGTAAATATCACGATTCTGCGAGAGATTCATTGATGGTCTAAATAGTTCAGTTCTAACATTTCAACTGTGAAGCCCAGTTCCAAATCCACTAGACAGTACCACTTCCCTCAAGATATTATAGATACGCCTTACTCATTAGTTTTAACACTGACATAAAACTTAAGTCAAACAGCGCGCTTGTTACAAAAATGCCTCCAACAGCCTAATATTGAAATATTTACATATAAAACTGTGAAATATGATTACACAGTACAATATTAAGACAACTCCCTATTCATTTCTAACAAATAAACCAATTTCATTAGTATATACATATATATCAATTAACAAACATTTCAGTAGTACGTAGAAACTTTTAAAATTTTATTTCTTTTTTTAAAAAAAATAAACATGCAAAACAAACAGTACTGTTCGAATGAAAAGTTAATTTTATTTGCTTCTTCCATCTATATATAATGGGATATAATCAAATGTATACAATATAACAATTATATATATTAAGAAGAATAAAGGGAGTTTGTCCTTTTTGTATGATTGGCTTTATTGCATACTCATAAACACAAATAGAGCCTGGCTCGTGGCTTTTACATATGAATGTTTACAGAAAATTATATATATATAGGGATATGTATCTGAAGATTTAGCGTAAATATCTCTAGTTTATATAACAGAATTATTAAAAGTTAGCCAAATGATATACATGAAGAATTGAATAATCAGTGAACAAGACGGATCAATTAAATTGTAATCCCATTCCCATTTAAAATTCACAACATATTTCAATGATTTTATACACAATCAATCGTTGAATCAAACAACAAATACAAAAAAGAAAACATATATGTGTAAAAGAATAAATGGAATAGATTATAAGAGGTAGAAGAAATAATATGGAAGACTTCATACTTCATCAGAAATGCTAACCTGGGTTAATCCATCTGGGAAGAAAAAAAAGGTAAAATAAAATAAGCATATATCCAATTGAGTGGAATTGAAATTCATAATGAAAACATCATCCGCAATATGTATGTAAGTACGAAACGATGAAAACTGAAGTATGGATTTAGTGAATATTCTAAAATGGAAAGAAAACGTATTGGGACCATTATACATTTAATTATTAAAATCAGTACAATTATGTAATGCAATTTAAAAATTTCAATGGTTGAGATCATTAGTCAGTTGAAGCTAGACCACCATGGGAAACCTAGAAGCACTGGACGGCCGTTTCGTCTTATTGTGGGACTCCTCAGCAGTGCGCATCCACGGCCTCGCCCCCTGCGAGGTTCGAACCCAGGACCTGCTGGTTTCGCGCGCGAGCACTTAACCACTAGACCACTGTTAAGTTAAGATATATAAATGTACCCAGTATGTATGATTAGACCATTGAATGAAGTAAGCTCTGTAGACTAACTCTATTTAACGAGTTACAATCCATATAATCTTTTATAAGAATGTAAAATTTTACAGTAAATAGTAGACTACACATTGACCTGAAAAACATGTCTTCCATAGAAATAACAGTTAAATTTTGCCCTAGTGATCGGATCAGATTAGTTGTACATAATCATAAATACCATTGAAATGTGCATTCACATTAATTTATTACACTAAAATTATATCAACGTAATGTAATTCAGTGAAATAGTTCTTGTTCTGAAAATTATTCTTCACATATCTAAAAAAAGGCCATGTATGCACACACACACAGAAATAAACAGATTTAAATATCTAGTGTTGGGATATTTAGAAAAATATCCCAAGAAATTATTCTGTTAAGTCTAACGCCATCCTTGGACTTGAGATGCTATCATTTTCTTATTGATCAATATTTACTTAACGTGTCATTTTCCTGTTGGCCAATATTGTACAATGTTATTTTCTATTTTATGGTACTATGTGGTCCTGCTTGATTGGTATATAAACAGAGTATGTTTGAAATATAATGATTCATATCTCAGAGGCTGCGACTTGCGTTCTGGGCTCAACTGGCTGGGCTAGACAGGGAATCAAGACCAATCAGAACTCTAGGCTGTTATTACGTGTTTACGCGTCTTTGGTCCGATCGATAATTTGCTGCCGTCTAATTTGCAGTTCACAAGACAACACCTAGTAAAACTAATATTACCTCATATAGTATTGCTTAACAAATCAAATTCATATTGAACTTAATCAAGTAACCTCATAAAACAAAATAATAATTATGGAAACGTTATAATGTTCATGAAAGGTAATAAAGTTGCACATTTTTCACTAATCAATGAAGTGAGTTTTTTTTAATTCAATCTAATCTTATTTAAAATTAATTATTCAAATAACAGAACTATCAATATGAAAGAGGAAAGACTATACCAATGAAGTTTCTTTATGTAAGATGTAGTTTGAATACGGTAGTATTGTAAAAGTTCCAGTTGACATCACAATGAAAGAAGTTGACAAAGAGAATAAACAGTGAAATGTTATCAAATAGATTCCAAATATTCCAAGATACAAAGATTGAAAATGACAAATGATGAAACTATTTTCAGTGAATGAATTGGTTAAGCATGAATGTTAAATATATATTCAAGGATCTAAGCAATAATCGAGAACAGTGATAAATTGTGGACTGACCTTAGTTAGACAAACATTGAAAACCTAGAAGGTACTGAATAGCTCTTTTGTCCTGTTGTAAAACTTGGAAGGAAACAGGAATGAAGCAGTTGTCACCTATGTTACTGTATAGTCATCATGCTACAGTACAAATCGACAAAAATTGGAATTGTACCATTGGACCTCGACTTAATGGTTATATCGGTTAAACGTTTGCCACAAGACCGACCCCCAGTGAAGTTGTGGGTGTGTATCACTGAAACGTTTACTAACACGAAACAGGTGTATGAGATATCCTAGTTTCCAATGGTTATCTGACTAATTATGGTCTGTAATGTAAATTATAAAGTTCAACAATGTTGACAAATCTCTTCCACTAGGAATGATTTTACTTAACGGAAGAAAACTATCAAATATTCGCATGTACACCTATCCTACCATAAACAATATGAGAAGCTAAAAAACACCAAGAAAATATATTCTCTTACAGACGTACTTAACTGTTCTAAAACATCAAAAGCTGGCTTCATATAGATAAATGGGTGCAATAATACTAGCCAACGGGATAATAGTTACCTTTCCTACACTCTAGAATAACTCAATCAAAAAAAGCAAAATAGTACAATGAGTAGATTAAAGAGAAAGTAACTTGGTCAAATGGCTACGAAATCCTAGGATTTCATCTTGAACATCAGAATTACAAAAGAAAGGTATACAAATTTTATCAAACAGACAGAACCGTTGTTTCATTAGTGAAGCTGTGAACTAAGAAGCTTTTACTTGTCTTAGAAATAGTTCCACTACACAGTTACTTCTAACAATTTATTATTCAGTACTTTTAGCCTTAGCTTTAAGTATTAAACTTTACTTAGAGTGTAAACGTCGACGAGAAATGACTATAATCAGTTTAATCTCGAAGTGTAACGAAAAGTTAGTAAGATATACTCCTTTAACATAGAAAACACTGTTGATTTGATCTAACTAGTTTGAATGTCAATATTAGCCAACAATATACATATCTGCTATATTTTAAGCTCGTAACCAGACTCAACGGAACATCGTACCCAGTAATCGTTTGGTTAATCCGCTGTCGATTTACGGCAAAGATTACCACTAAGTTTGTGTCTTTATAGTACGTGTTCGAAACTTTATATATCAATATTTATTTATGTATTATCTTATAGGATAAAAATACTACTGACAAATTCTAAACAATTTTAACTCACCTTAATTTTAGATACAATAGAATAGGATAAAACTAAATAGACCAGAAATTAACTGAATGAAAGCGAACACTTTGAAAGTTTATAACAATAAACGATAATGATTCAGTAGTTTGTTCTGTTTTGTTTTATTAGTCCAATATACACAAAATAAGAAATATGAGAAGAGAATTACAAATCAACTAGAAATTATTTCGATTCAATGTTTTATTTCATATCGAGATATTTTTTATAAAAAGTATTTGGATAAATGGAAACAAAGATTACGGCATTCATTTAACACGAATAGGAACATATAGACAGAGCTAGTGGAAAGACAGATTTAACTCTTGAAACGCAGAAAAACACGACGATGATGATGATGATGATGATGACGACGACGACTGAATATTGTACACGCCACCGGTAAGGGTACATACATAGGCAAAAGATTTCTCGTTAAATTATATAGAATATCATATATTTGAATGTGTACTTATTATGCATAAAAAATTAATGAAGAAATTCTAGGATTTTTTTTATTTACAAGCGCATATATGCATGAATGAGTTAGTTACATTTGTACTCTATATATTTATATATGCATGTCTTGATTACTGAGGACTATATTAAGTTCTGCTCCTTTCAATTATAAAATTATGAACAAATTTATTAGTTAATGATGCTTTGGTGTTGTCATTGACTGTGGCAAAGGTGGAGGAGGGCTAGAAGGTGTTGGTGGTAGTAAATTTTCATCATGTTGTCTTCTTTGTGCTTGATCCAATTCATCATAACGATTTGAATTCGATGCTTTAATCCATGGATTATGATTAGAAACTCGATAATTAGATTTTGATAGACAAGTATTTGTTGTCGATCCAGATTTAACATTGAAATCTAATTTATTCACATCTGAAATGTAAAATGGTCAACATATATAACAAACATTTAAAATAAGAATATATTCTGGATAATATATTAGTAGTAGTATGTATGCTAAACAGTAATATAAAAGTGTGATTTGTGCTACGAATCGATTTTGCCCCCAAATGTCCCGGTATGGCCGAAAGTGGGGTGGGCCCGCCCTCCCTCTCGAAATGCTCTCACATGGCCACGCGTACATAGTCTCTGTCAGAGAAGTCCTACTCACTGCCTTCTCGTGGCACTACTGTTGTTTACGGAAATGAGAGGACGAAAAGCGAATATCCGGCGCTTTAATCGGATCTCAAACCGATGGTGCACATGGACTCCAGTATCCTGAGGGAAAAAATGGCGTATGAACCAATCGTTGGTCACCGGCTACCATGGGAATGCATCTCCTCACGATGCTCCACTGCGTTATGGATCAGACCTTTAGGTCAAAGACTCGGGGTGTGGCCCCCTAAGAAAACCACCTGCTTCGGTCTGGGCACCCGGGCAGTATCACAGCCCACACACACACAAATATGGTGTGGCGCATATATATTTGGTGCCCTCTTGTACCAATATTTATGTGTTGAAATAGATAATAATAAATAAATAAACAAATCGATTTTCGTTTCTTAATTAGTTGACAAATCTACAGTATAGCTGAAGAATTCATCAATATAACTCAATCGTAACCTTGCTGATTGTAAATCAACTCTTAATCATATTGAAATGTTTATTAACATTATCATCAATTCATGATTAAGTTTACATTACTAAAAAGTTTCAGAAAATCATACATCTTTCCATCATATTGCAATTACATTTGTGATGGATGCTACTCACAAGGATGTTTGTGGGTGTGTAGCGGGACGTGGTGTCATAGTTGCAACAATTGTGAAGACTTTCAGTGCTTTGGAAGCACGGTGTTTGCAGAACACACCAAAGATGCTATGTATATGTATGGTGTATGCTACTTATGTCTGTCGACATAAGTAGTATGTAACACCGATCAGAAGTGGAAAACCTAACAGCAGAAGGCTAAGAAGATCGAGTTGAAGAGAAAAAAACGGGAATAGAAAGGAATTGTGGACTGGAATAATCATACACAATATGAAGATCAAATGGTGGAAATTTGCAAATGAAGTATTCAGTGTATGGTTCTCATATTTTACCAAGAGATTCTGTAATTCCATATTCAACTACAACTGGCTGTCCCCAATTGTTTTCTCGTTCATTACATAAGTATAATGTAAATTCTTTGTAACTTCTCGCAGAAAACATACATTCCTCCTTCCTGCTGTCATGTTTTACACATTTACTAATCGATATATCTTCACACTCAAGTGAAAAATAAAAATCTAGATCCAAACTTGTCAATTCATAAACTTATAACTGATTTCTTTATAAATAATGAAGTAATCTTGTAATAGAGACCAAGCCCATAAGTCTAGGTACAATTGTAAAAATATTAAAGATTCCCATTGTGAAAATTAGAACAACACATATAAGCGAACAATTGAAAACAACTGTTCGCTTATATGTGTTGTTCTAATTGTAAAAATAACAAAGAAACATTCAAAAATAATGGTTATTCCATTTGCAATAGAGAGTCCAATGATACATTAGAGATCATTGTCGTTAATTATAAACAAGAGCATAATTGTGAGTAATTTCTAGCTAAGAGATTCTTCTTAGTCCTATCTATCATCATCCATACAAAACTTATATTAACCAGAGTTTACAAGCAATAAGAAATTAGCATAACAATATTAGTTTGACACTTACGATGATCTACAGTGGTGGATTTCAAATGATACTCAATAATACATAAAATGTGAGTTCTTTATTGCATGATCAATAAAAATTCCAAATTAGTATTGAATAAAAGCAGAGTGGAGACAGAAATACTTGGTTTTTTTAGACGAATAGTCATACAAAGAAGGAATTACTACTAATCATATCAAGAGAAGGCTATGGGATTATTCGTAGTATAGTAAATATCTTACTGTAGTATAGCGTAGTGTATGGTTTCAAACTACTGAGTAGACAATAATTTTCTCAAGACAACAGTATCTACTAGTATAAGACCCAAGTTAAACAGAACTTCACTGTTGATCGTCTATTACTAATGAAAGTGAACAGCTACTATATAAAATATACACCCACCTGATCGTTTATGTGATTGTTCAATGTTTACAATGTCATTCCGTTTCGGAGATTTGTATTCATTGTTGATATGACCGCCTCTTCCAAGTAATGTGGGATTATTATTATTATTATAAGTGGTAGTAGTAGCAGTATTATTTATAGAGTTATTACTCTTTGCAGACGATGATGGTGATAACACTGTGTGAGGTGCTATTCCCGATGATGATGCTGATATAGATGATAATCCTGTAGTTTGTGTTGAAGTAATAATACATGGGAAATATTGTCCCATAGTAGATGAGATAATCTGATGTGCGATAGGATAATAAATTGGTGCTGAAGGAGTTGGTAAATTATAAGCATCATACATCTGTTGATTTTGTGACTGATAATTATTCTGTTGAAATACATTTTGCACAATATCACTTTCAACACCGTAATGATGATTGTTACTACCATTATTACCAATCTGTGAACTTTGTATACCATTTAATAGTCTTGTAACTGATGATGTTGTTATCGCCGCTGTTGTTGTGGTCTTCGTCGTCATCATCATCATATCATGTATTGAATGAGGATTCGTGAATAATAATGGTTGTTGAATTGTATTTATTGATGTGAGAAAGTTATTCTTATGACAACTAATATTACCGTAGGTACTGGGATTATTAATTATATTATTGTTGCTAAATGGGGAATTCAATGGAGGATTTGATAAAATATTGAAATTAACAGAACAATTTGATGATAAGTCAGTGTTAAGTGGATTAGCACAAGGATATAAATTAGGTTGAATATTCATAGATGGTGTTAGATTAGCAGCCAGTCGTTGTTGATTTAATTGAGCCAATGTAGCAGCTAACATGGGATAATCATGTAACATACTTGTGGATGCATACTCTGGACTCATTGTACCTTTTAAAATGAAAAAGGATGAATTAAAAAGAATATATAAGTTATATATGAGAAACTTCTAAACTTAACCATTCATTGTTTGATCGTTGAGAAATTCTTTTGGGAAATCTCCAGAGGAAACATTCAACCTTTCTACTTTTAAAAACAGTTCGGTAAAATTATACTATACTGACAAATCAAGTGAACTTACAACATCGCCTATGGGAGTTTTAGCAAAATTTAAAATGCGATGACGAATAACTTGTGCCTTATAATGAGCTAAGTAAAAGCTTCTTAATATTACCTAAAATTGATTTTAAGAAATATCTATTGTCCAACTCTATAGTGAATGCGATATAGCGCGAAAAATAAATTACAAAAAATACCTGCTCATGATATAGATGGTATATAAAACGGCGGTTACTCCTTAAGTGTACTTGATGTGATTCGGGCCACAGTCAAAGCTATTAGTAGGGTTTCTCAAGATCCTCCGTATCTTATGACCTAATCGATATGGAAAAATTACTCATTCATGTATGGTATATGCAGTAGGGAACTACTAGTTTATAAAAATAATTAGAAAAAGTACAAGTGTGTTCAATTATAGGACTATAATCAGCAGGTTGTCATTATTACGTATCAATTCACCAACGTTATGAAAAATATCCACATTAATAATGTTGAACTAATGTGATCAAGATTGAAGAACCATTTTCACCCTTATCTAAGCTCTAAAGCTACGATGGTCTGGATCCACAATGATAAGTTTATACTAGATCTACTTTGATTTTTATTTCAATGAGCCTATCGCAGACCTGAATAAATTTATTAATCGTGTAGAACATATATATTTTGGCTTTTTAGGTTTTCTGTAGTAAATTATTCATTTATATTACCTGCTAATAACTGAATAAAATTTCCGCAGGTCAAATCTAAAGCTTCTCAAATTCATCATTGTAGTATAGCTCCATCGATAATTCTAAGGGTTTACTAACAAACTGACAAAACATTACAAACATTTGGAATGAATAATTGAGGTGTTATTGTATCAATAGACTAGATATTTATTTCTTGAACCACTTCTATTTATTATAACTAGTGCTTTAGAAACAAGTAGAAATTGTTACTAAGGATTTTTATGAATATTAATGGTAGTGATACAATAGGATATTTATTAAGATTTACTTAATCATATAATCAGTATAAAAATCAAAATATAAATTTATATTCCATCCATTTATATTCATCAATTACTACTCACTTGCTCCATTACTATCTACATCTGATTCAGCTCCACCAACTGTTGTATAAACACCAGGTTCTGAATTTAATAAATTCATACCAATTGAAGAAGTACAACAAACTGCATTATTATTACGATAACCGGTTTGTAAAAGCCAAGAATTATCAGTTACATCGGATGGATTAGATGAAGCTGGAATTCGCATTAATGGTCGACCATTGATTAGCATTGATGGATGACCTCGAGACAAATCAATTTGGAGTAATCCATTTGCCGCTTGTACAGAAGTCTGGTGTTTCAAACATACGACATACAAAATAGATAGGTGAAATGAATAACCCTTATAGACCAATCAGATAAAAGTATCATAGCAAACCTCTTTATTGGTATTTCGTAAATATTGTTACTAACAAAAATAAAGTAGTATAATTTCCTCAAATAAATTAAACTTAGAGATACCGTAATATCTTATGTTGATAATTGATGCTCAAACTAACATAAAATATAAACCCAAATATCAAAAGCTTTGGGTGATTTTACTTAAAAATACTTGGGAGTATTGAGGAGGAATGTCAACCTCAAAGACTTCTTTTAACCCTCAAAATCCAATGGTATCTACATTGAAAGAAAATAGTGTCACCGTTGTTTCTGAACAGTTTTGAGAACATGTTGCGTTGCATCTGAATTAAGTATCAACTTCACAATAATAGATCTGATGAAAGAAATGTAGCTAGAAGGTGCACCAAAACAAGTTGTTATTCAATAGTAAATTATTCTATGATATTAATGTGACTTGCTGTTAGTTCTTCATTCTGAAATCCCTACTCTAAAGTTACACATTTCCAAGAAACAAACTATCCTTAAAACATTAACTTCAAACAAATCTAAAGAGGAGATTTAATTATTACGATTTTTCTTATATTGATGGGCTTCGAATGTTGTTGAGAAACATGAGCATACATATTTGTGAATACAGAATATTTGGATTTCTGATAACTGGTTAAAGGAAATATTCAACCACAAGGATTTTGTTGCAGGTTACTTCAATATAATCGAATAATTGTAGTTTTTATGCTACCTATTCAAAGTTGTATAAAAAGTTGAATGGTATTATAGTTTGTTTAGAAGTAAAATGGATAAAAGTATGCTTTAATAACAGACCAATCAGATTTATGATAGTAGCTATTTAGAGTTTTGCGTGAAATTCAAAACACAATGACGGATATCTTGTATTTTTTTAAAGGCCAAGTCAGAAATAAATAAAACCTAACAATATTTAATTATCAAGATGCTTAAAATTGATAAACATAAAAAGACTATGGATTAAAAACGAAGTTGAACAACACTAAATTTAACTATGAGGAAACGATTAGTTTTGTTGTGACAAATAGAAAAAAACAGCTGGAATTAAAATGTAACATTTTAATATGATGTATGATGTTTCCAAGATAACTTATATAATCTTAAGATTTGAAATCAAAGAAAAGCCTGCATAGCTATTCATTAACGTGACTGCAAATCAATCTACCGCTCTAAGCCCAACACCTAACTCCTAACAGTAAATCCTAAACCTAACCTTTATTTGGTTGACTTATTCACATTCCCTTTGGTTAAAAGTTGGTCAGTTACGGGTCCCTGAAATCATTAGTGAAGTACACTATCAATGAAAAATGAAAGATTTAGAGTATCAGAAATCTCATGACTTCTAAGAAAATATATTAGTATTTTTTATTGTGATCATGAACCGATCAATTTTAAACTAGCATTGGAAACCAAGAAGCACTGTACGGCCGTCTCGTTCTAGTATGGAACTCCTTAACAGTGCGAATCACAAACTCCACATCAGTCAGTCAGTCAGCTACAACGTAGGACCAGGCACATATATGCATCGATCCAAGTTGCCATACCTCATCAGCACAACAAGATGAACACCGGATTCATAAAAGTAGCTAATTCAGAGGTGGTAATATATAAGAGAAAGATTGCATATAGAGATATAGTACAAGAAGAAAGAATTGGTTAGTAGAAAGAAAGATATGAAGTTATTTTAATCTCTTAGTTTAAGGGGACAGAGATTGTGTACACCGACGCCATTGTGATCGATTCTGAGCCATGTCACCAAGAGTCTCCAACCGTTGGTTACGGTAGTCACGTGGACCCCAACCAAGTAGTCTGCATCTACCATCATGGCTCAGACTAGAAGTTAGTATCAGTGCTTGAAGATACTAACTTCTAGTCTGAGCCATGAGGGTAGATGCAGACTACTTGGTTGGGGTCCGCGTGACTATCGTAACCAATGGTTGGAGACTCTTGGTGACATGGCTCCACATACTGGACTTAAACTCAGGACCTTCAGTCTCGCGCGCGAACGCTTGACCTTTACACCACTGTGGCTATGTGCCCGCTAGTGATTAGCTTTTAGAGGTAATTCTCGAAGCTTCAGTGAGAAGCTGTGACCAGTGGAGTTCAACCATGTCGGGTGTCAGACATATACCCACTAAAGACAATGAAAAATGGTCGTGCAATATCGTCAATTGATTGAAGTTAGATATTAACATCGTTGGATGTTGGCCCAGTGGTCTGGGGACTAAACGTTCGCGCACGAGACCAAAGGGCCTGTGTTTGATCCTCGTGTACGTAGCCGTGGATGCGCACTGCTGGAGAGTCTCATACTAGGACGAAACGGTCGTCCAGTGTTTCCAGGTTTTCAATGGTAGTCTAACACTGATCGGTTCATGATCTCAATAAAAACTCAACAATCTCTAAAACCCTATTACTGATAAATGTCGCATTATGTTAAAGTATAAAGAAATCCAACAATAACAAAAATCCTTTAAATATTACCTGTCCTCGTAAATGAGCATTTAATAAATCAGTTGAACATAATCCTAAATTATGACCAGATTGACTGCTAACTAATTGATTGACTCTTGAGAAATTATTTACAGTATTTAAAAATTCTGTATTATTATTACTAATATTATTATTATTAGTGGTAGTAGCAGTAATATGGTCGATTTCTTTAGAATTAATATTCCCATGTATATTATTAGTATGATCAAGTTGCGAAATAGTTCTGTTGTTATGATTTATTTTTACTGAACATTGTTTACGACGATGTTTCTTCATTTTTGATATACATAATAACGAGGATAAAACAGATGAATGTTGCTTCCGGATCTGGTGATGATGATGGTACTGATGATTGTTAAATAATGATAAACTATAACGATTATGTGGATGAGTTTCATCATTATCATCATTGTGTTTATTATTGTTATTATCACAGAATGCTTCAGTTTCTGATGTAACACCATCACTTGGACCAATTGTGCCACCAGATAAACGATTAACTATTGTATTAGACTGTTGACCGATAACCATACCAACATTTGACTGTGACGTCTGACGTAGCTGTGATTGTTGTTGACTTGAATTTTTTTCATTTGAAACACTATTGGGAGATTCTGTACTGGTATTTGATGATAGGACAATTTGATGATAAGATTGTAATCCCCCATTTGGTAGAACAGTTGAAACTTAGAAAAAAGTAAATATAGCAATCATGCATAAGTAGTCACAATGAATCAATGTCTTAATGCTGGTCAAATTGGTCAAGTTGAGTGACTCAACATCATGTGGTTAGAAGTAGTTAGCAGCAAGATTTATTTGTAATCTTTAGCGGACTTTAACGGTCCCTTTAGGGTTAGAACCCACACCACACAACTTTACAGTCTGAAACATTACCTCTGAACTATTCGGACATCCAACCACCTAACAGATATTTAGTAGTTATTAGTAACACACATGTTGATGATGAATACCTTTCTCTGTAGAAATTCTAACAATTTAGTAAATTATGAGGTCACAATTCAGTTAAGAATAAGATACTATGGTTTAATTTTAATTATAAAATTACGTGAACTTTTAAATAAGGTTGACTACTGGCTTTGTAAAAATCGTAAACTGAAACTGAGTGAATTCCCATTGTTAAAATATGACTTATTTTACTTAGCAAAAGCTCATAAACTCCCCCACTTTGGCATCAGTCATATGATTATGTTCACGTTGATTGCTGAACAGAGTTTCTGGTGCATAATATCTTGATAATATTAACGGTTTAAGAGCGTGATATAAAAATTCTAGAGAAAAACCGTTAATTTCAAAATAATCAAACGCATCTCTAGCTCCACAATATTTCTTATCTAAACAAGTTTAAAACACAAACCTTTACATTCATAACACATAATAATTGATATGATGGACAAGAATTAAACCTGATATTTAGGTATCGATTCAGAGAGTGAATGGCCAGGTCTCATATCCTTGAATCATTTATTTATTAAACGACTTACAATCACGTTTATTCCTGTGTTTAGTGTTATCAATATAAGTTTGTTATCTTGGTGGAAGATGAAATAAAGTGGCTTTTGTAATTATTCACTTAGGTCCTGCAATACCTGGAAGTCAGTCGTAGAATGGTAAGGCTGGAAGCACAAACTTAAGTTATGAGGGTGGGGTCGTACTGCTGGCTGTAATGGAGTTTAATGGCAATAAGTTGTTTGCCTCAGACAACTAGCCTGTGGAGCGATTCAGCCTTCCCACGACAAAAACAATAGGGTTAGAAAAGGTTGACCCTAAAAACAGAACACTTCACCTTACTCTAAAAACTTTCGTCACCTGAGGCAAAGCCTCGGAAGGTCCGTGTATGAGTAACCTCAAGCAGTGGTCCCTTGAGCTCTGTGGTCACGCCACCAGGTAGCTTAAAACATTAATAACCGATTAACAATAAGAACTAAGGTCTTAATTGTGATTCGTTGGTCGATGTGTTATCTCATGAAACAAGTCACAGGTCCTGCTGGCAATGTAGGTGAACTAATCGATAAAAAAAATCCCGATTCGGCAATATAGCACGTAATATCGATTAGTATTCAAGCCACACAAAAATTCATGAAAATATAGTGTTAAATTAGAAGAAAACCAGATCAATATTACTACCTCCCATCTCAGGTTTAGCTGCAGATAATAGAAATGGATACATATTTGGTCTAACTGTTGCATAACCAGCATCACCACCACCACCACCACCGATAAGATTGACATTACCGTTACCACATAAACCAGTTGTTGTACATACATTTAAAGCATCTTCACCACGAATTAACAATGTTTTATGAACTTGATGTTTTTCTCTTTCTAAATCATGTCTTTTACGATGCATCCATGTCACAGAGAAGCAAGCAACACCAGCTAATAAACCAAGGAAACAACATAATAGAACTAGTACTAATATAACTACAGTTGACAAACGAGTTGATGAATCATCAAGTACAGAGGTATCATTTGACGATGGCACTTTATTTGCATCAGATTCACGTTCTAGAAAGAAAAAAAACGAACGAGTGAGAATAATTCAGCAACAGTATGTCGTAAGTCCAAATGTTATAAATATGACCAAGGATGAAATGCTTGACCAACATTATTCCATCAGTACTAGAAGACGAGACAAACATGATATTGGTCACTTCTCAGTAATTAGTAAGTTGTAAATAGCGAGAACTAAACGGAATAAAATGAATTCACGATATCATGTTTAAATCTTTGCTCTTGTTCTTTTCAAGCGTATGAAATTTAAACGTCTCGGTTCCGCAGAAAAAATTAAGTAGCTGCCCGAACAGATCAGTTGTAACATCTGGAATTTTGAAACTGAGTGACGCGAGTTTAAATTCCACAGAAAGCATCAGCTCCATTAACAATATATGTTTTCCGGCGAGACTCTAATTTACGAACGAGCGAATCAGAAGCGGTTTAGGGATTTCAAGGTTACGGCGCCAACTTCAGAGCTTAATGCTAACGTACGATCGGTTCACAGGGAATCTTTTTATAAAACGTGATAATTGAGCGGCTATAACAAATAAAACGGCGAGACTATAATTTGTGGACGAATCAATCAGGTATAAGATAATAGATCTCGGATTTTAACGCGAAAGCCCTTCATCTATTTGGCTAAATAAATTTCTGGAATTATAGCTGATGTCAGTTCGTGATGAAAAACCCATATATCATTCCTAACTATGGCAAATTACAACAATTATTGCGAACTGGATAATAAAAGCATCAGTAACACTGGCTGCAGCCAGGTACTACAATATATACGGATGTTTGGAGAGCGTACAGAATCCTCAATAAGCTTGGTTATGTGCATCGTGTCGTTATCCACAAGTGGCATTTTGTGCACTCAACAACCGGAGTGCACATAAACAATATTGAAACTACGTGGTCGAGGCTGGAAGAGTTTTTGAGACTTTACCATGGCTCCAGAGGCCGACTATTCTGTAGCCATATGGATGATTTCCTCTACTGCATGCATTACGATTTCAGAACCTCTGAACCTCTTTCTAACCTTGATAAGTTTTTGAACCACGTATAAGAAGTATATCCACTATATTTCCATGGTTTTGTATAACATTTTTAATCTATATTAACTGTTTGCTGATTGGCTAATATTTCTCAAGGTTACTTGAGATTCGTTCAAAGGTCGTCCATACATTAAAGTCTCGCCTGTTTTCCTTTCTGACTCGAGTCAATTAGCACGAAACCTAGGTCGAGCAAGGTATCCTCCCATCATTTAACATCTGATATGATGGAAAGAAAAGTCCATTTTCGATTGATTTACTCATTATGAGTTTTGTTCAAGATTATTTCCGTTTTGATTCAATGGAATGATTACTCAATGTAGTATTAGGTTTTCTTTTCTCGTATGATATTTTATTATGTATAATATGCGGTAATCTTGTATTCCATTGACATGAACTATGGTCAGTATGTGATTTGTTATAACTCTAAGTATTTTTCATATATGTGATTTCATCCTAATTATTAATCAAAATGGGTGTATAATCGATATATAAATGAGTGTATTTTCTACTAGAATCGTCGCCGTCGTCGTGTTTTGGGGTTAATAAGTCATCACTTATACCAGTCTTTGTGTTCTTACTTTCGAGTCGTGAGAGTGGCAGAGGTCCCTCGTTCCGAGTATAAGTGATAAGCGTTTCCAACATAGCAACCAGCAACAACCAGATACAAAAAGTAGCATTAAAAGAGCCAAGATAATAAGCATTCAAACGACAAATTATAACAACACCAATAAAATGTTAATATTTGCTTTGATGTGAAACATTACTGGTGACTGGTTAATTCACTACTTACTTGTATTCGTCGAGTCCTCTTCTTCATTAATAGATTGATGATTGAAGGATTTTGAAGATAACATAGCCAACTCATCAATTTTTATCGGTGTTGTAACCTTTTCTAAAATGGACATTAAACGGATTTTTTGCCAGCGAAATAAAACATAAAGGAAATGAAGATCAAATTAAAATGATACTTATTAATTTGTACAATAATTAACACTAAAAATTTATATAAAACTACTCTATGCCCTAGTAAAACAAATTAATAAATAAGAAATTAGTTTTACTTTCTCCTGGACTAAATTTTAAATTATCAGTATGAGGATTTGTGGATATTATTGTATTTTCACAGCTGAATTTACGAGTCAATCTTAGCTAGACAACCATCGAAAATCTGGAAGTACTAGACGGCCATTCCGTCCTAGCATGGGACACCTCATAAGTGGGACCATGGATGCGCACTACTGAGGAGTCCCATACTAGGACGACATGGTCGTCCAGCGCTTCCAGGTCTTCAATGATGGTCTAGCTTAGATCGACTCGTGATTTCAACTGTGGAAATGTTAAATTAACATATAATAAGAAATGTATCAATCACTTGTAAGTAAATCTTCGATAGTATACACGTAATAGCTAGTTGATTTTATGCAACGACACTGGATATCAGATGATTGGATTAGAAATCGATTTGAGACAATAATGTTTGCTCTATTTTATATTCATGATACGTGTTGTTGTATGTAGCCGGGATAATTTTATGAGACAATTTTACTCTGTTGCTATTCGGCCGATAGGTGTACAAATCATTTAATCATATTTTCATGATAATTTTATATCTCTTAAAAAGACATAAAAAGACCGGTATCTTTGTCAAATATTAGTTCTTAGCAGTTATATTTGACTGTATCAAGAGACTCATTTACTATTCAGTCAACACGCTGAGTATTATCCTACCAAAGCCTGAAGTATCATAGCTATGCATCAGAATTTATTGAAAACCTATAATTAAATGACCTTATTTAGATTTTATCACTAAGGGTTACTTGCAATACTAATATACCTAAGCAACACTATAATTTAGCAATATAAAAGGTTTAATTAACTTTGTATAAATGTGTATATGACATATCGAGTTCTATGACCTGAAATATGATTTATCTCGTTTGAAACTATGATCCAATGATTTCCAGATAGATTATCTAAAGCATTATGTCAGTCTCAACCTTAATGAAGAAAATAATACAACTTTATCATAAACCACTATTATTATTATTACTGTTTCATATAATAGAGTGTTAGAGTAAAATAAAACCTTCATGAAAGTACCAATGTTAATGTTTGAAATAAAACTTACCACTTTCAAAGCGTATTTCACTAAACAACAACCAATCGTCAGCGAAAAAGGCTTTCAATTGTACAACTTGACCAATTCTATGAGATAAATCCAAAATAATACTAAAAACACCTAGACTTCGATTCTCTAATTTGAATTCACGTGAAATAGGCAATTGACCAGAGAAATGTACACCACCTACACTAAATTTAACTTCTAGTCGCCTGGGTAAACGAATCTAATAAAAAGAGGGAAAAAATTAATTAATTACTGTCATTTCATTGTCTTAGGTAAAGAAAAATTTCAGTAAACTACTTATGTATTTTATCAAATTACTTCAAATAAATTCATTTATAACAAAAATTTGTACACATAACTGCAGAAAAGTGTTATGGCATAACAGTAATTAAGGATATAAACTAACCTTTTCTAAATAATTATTAGATATATAAAGTCGAAGTCGTGTAAAATTACGTACAGAAGCAAAACGAAAAAGCATATCAACAACATCATTATTTTTATCCTGTGAACTTTTCCAACGATCACGATGCCAACCAACAAATTGATAATTCATTGAACTATCTGCTTTTGAACTAACACCAACAGTTTGTTGTATAGATGGAATTGTATCACGATTAGCACTGTTTAAATCAATAAGACAACCAAGTCCTCCATCTAAAAGACTTCCTGGTTCAATTCTATGACCATCATAACAAGTATCTGAAAATGGAAGACCACCACCAGCTTGACTAGAATTTAAGTTCTCATTTGTAAACACTTCTGATCCTTGAGATTTATATAAACTAGTTTCAGCTTGATAAGGAGGATGTGCAAGACTCCCTTCGGGGATTCGATATTCAACCAGGTCATCTATTTAAATAAATAAAAATTTCATAACAATGCAAATTACAGATTCATTTTAATTGGATGGAGCAATTCACACTACTCATAAATAAACAAGTAACAAGATTGAAAATGACTAGTTACATGTGTTCATAAGTAAGCGATTCATATCTTCAGAAGATGAAGTCGTAATGAAAAATTAATTCTTCAAAGTAAGAGACCTTACTATTGTATTAGTCCGTCATATGATGACGAGGATTTCCAAATCAGGTAGATGTTTTTTGTGTTAATATACCATTTGAATTAGACTGTTTGACTTAGAAACCTTTATTGTTACTCTAGACAACACCACTATCAGTTTCTACATCGTGTTTTAGTAATTCCACAGGAGTTAAATCAGTGAGTTCTGATGATTTTCTTTGTGACTGGTCATCTTCGTGGGTTTCACTGTTTTCATATGTTCATATATTCCTACTGGCTATCTCGTTTGATCAAGTTCTAACCATAATTGACTGACTTTTTTCAATATGGATTGATAAAGAACAATTAAAAGCCATGAAACTGGTCAAAACAACCAATCACAAACAACCCCCTTAGAATGAAACGATTTAATGCTTATAGAATAACTCAAAATCTATATGAAGTAAGCAAGGATGATACTTCTCAAAATGGCTATGAAAGTTTACAATTAAATCATTTACCTCTCTTAATGGGAACATAAAAACACCAAAACAAAACAAAACAAAAAGAAACAATTATATTGATGATAAATTGCAAATCTCTTTTGGTAATTTATCACCCTTGAGAATTAAATCAATAACAACACATTATTGCGATGTCGAAAAGTGTTTCACTTGTCAAAATCACTGAATACAACTTTGTTGATTGATTGGTTTAGTAAAAAAGTATAATAAATAAATAAAAACAGAAATGCAAAACAGATAAACACACATATATTTATGTACCATCTTACAATTATACTTTAGCAAAAGAGAATAAAAACTATTAGAGACAAAAAAGAGAATTAATACTTTATTGAAACTTGAAAAGTAATAAATAATCAGTGATGAATGTATCATCAATGTTAATATAGGTGGATTGTTAATTTAGTTATACACATAAACAAGAAATGACCCCCCAAATGCCCTGGTACGACCGAGAATGGGGAGAGTCTGCTCTCCCTCTCGAAATGCTCTTATATGGTCACGCATATATAGCCTCTGCTAGGAAAGTTCTACTCACTGCCTTCTCGTGGTGGGGATGTTGTTTACAAAATTGAGAGAACGATATGCGAATGTATGGCGCTTTAACCGGGTTGGTGGACATGGAGAGTTCACCTAGGGGAGTTGAAAAACCCTGATTCCAAACCAATGGTGCACATGGGCTCCAGCATCTCGAAGGAATAAATGGCGTATGAGCCGATCGTTGGTCACCGGCTACCATAGGACTACATCGTCTGACGATGTTCCACTGCCTTGTGCATCAGACCTTTAGGTCGAAGGCTCTGGGTGTGACCCCCTAAGAAAACCGCCTGCTTCAGTTTGGGCACCCGAGCAGTATCACAGTCCTCACACAAATCAAATGAGATTTGTGTGGCGCATATGTATTTGGTTCCTCCTTGAACCAATATCTATGTGTTCAAACAAATAATAAATAATAATAAACAAGATGTGAAGGAAACAATTTATACATAGTCAACTATTAATTCATTTTTGTATTTTTTTTGTTTGCATCTTCTCATTAATGTTTAGGATTGAAATTGATCAGTCTCTTATTGGCATATGTGATACCTGTACGGATTGTCTTGATATTTCATCAAATCACAAGTATAGTTAGTAGTGGAATCCAGGATAGCATTTCGTCCTATTTCGGACTCGTCAATTGGATGTACCTGGGTCCCAGAGTTGATGTTCACTCCGGTTGACATCCAGCTGACAAGTCCCATGTAAAACGAAATGTGCGTCTTGGATCCCACTGCTAGTTACCATCCATAGTCAACCCTTATTTAAGTTATATACACACAAACAATAAAAGAAAAATATTTTAACGAATGTGATTAGACTTTTATCGACTAGTTTCATTTACATCATACACTGAATTAAATTCATTTGATTACGTCATTTTGAACCTACACACATAGACATATATACATACATACAACGAACAAACTTAAATCAAACAACTTAACCAGGTTACAAAAAGTTAAATTGACTAGTACAGGTTTATAAATAAATATTCAGTTGAATTTTGTTCGGAAATAACTTTTGATCATTGACCAGACAACATTATCATTGATCTATTTAAACTTATATTTATCAACAAAAAGGGTTAAATTAAGCATATTTTTCAATAAATAATATAATATTGCATGTATAAGTGATAGTACCATTGTAGTAGAGACACTACTCACAAGGATATTTTGTAATTTAGTGTGTAGCAGAACATGGCATCGAAGTTGCAACCAATTGTCAGACGCAGTAAAGACTTTCAGTGCATTGAAAGTACTGCATTGGCAAAACACTTGGAAACCATCCAAGAAGATAGTTCAAATGCAGAATATACCGAAAGATACAAATAGACAATTGAAGGCTATGTATTTGTATTGTGTACATACTTTGTTACTTCTCTTGTCCATGGTCGTGTTTTACACTACTTGATATATCAATAATAATTGCTATTTATTTATTGGTTCCTAGAATTGTCATCGTATTAACTAGTTACAATCACTTTCGAAGTTATGAGATTAAATGAACCATTTAACTGCATATTCTTGAGTTCCGTGTATATGTAAGCGTAAATGTAGATTGTCAGTTCAAGATAGAAACGATTATCGTAAACATCGGTTGTTTTGAAAAACTTATACTTTTAATGCGTAACTTGCTTCTTTCTTCTTAAATCATATTTTCTACATCTATTCTTTTCATGTACCACTGATATTGTTGCAAATTTTACCACTCTGACATTTATCTCGATAATTTCATCTCGATAGGATGATATAGTAACTGGTTGACATACGTCCCAGAATCAATGTTGCTTATGACTGACTGACTATTTCTGGTTACTTTCTCCTACACATAATTTAAGTATAATACTTCACTGGTCTGTACTACAGACTACACATTTATTTGACAAACGATTACGTACACATACATTTCTCATACTGAAAATCCAAAACGTTTATCCTACGGTAATTAGTTTTCATAATTCCATAGAAGTTATTTATATCATACTACAGTAATATCTTTGCTATTCCATTCATTTAAATATGGTAACAATAATTATCATTATATTATTATTAATAGCTTTATTGAGTATTATGTTTTTGGTACAATATAAAATTCTCAGCACAAAGTATTTCAGCGAGTTTCCTTTTCCTATTTTTTGGTCGATCCTGACGATAAATATTTAGTGATCACTAGTTAGATGTTAGCAGTTCAGAAATCGAAATCTGAATAATGTACATTCTTTTCGCTGCTTATTGCCAGCCACCACGATGTCGCTGATTGAACTTTATCGTAACTTGTACAGAGAAAGGTCGTAAACTTTTCATAAATGTTTCTGAATAGGTTATGCAGTTAATTGATATATTCATGTGTTAAAACAAAAAAAAATTACTTGGTGAAGTATCTAGATTGAAGGAATAGGTACCCGATACATTCAAGCAGGCTGCTAAAAATTAGCCTTCAAATTCAATTGAATAACTATATTCATATTAGGAATGGCGAGACTATAATTTATGGATTAAAGATAGCGCGTCTTAGATTTGGGCGCGAGATTTATCCACTCATATAGCTAAATACCATTTCGGCATTAGAGCTGAAGTCAGTTCGTGATGAAAGTATTAAATATAATTTCTAACCCTAACGTTCAACTATAAATCCTAATCCTAGTCCCTTGCACTACTTTATAAGTCTCAATTAAACATAGTAAGTAAATGGACATTTTCATGGTCATTTTAGCGTTGCTCAAAGGTCGTCCATAAATTATAGTCTCACCTTATGAATGAACCGACTAGAGGTTAAGTGTTCGTACGCGAGACCGAATGTCGTGGATGAGCACTGCCGAAGAGTCCCATGCAAGGACGAAACGGCCGACAAGTGCTTCCAGGTTTTCAGTGGTGCTCTAACACCGATCGACACATGATCTCAATAAAAACTCGACAATCTCCACAACCCAGTATATATTATTATTATTTAGTGAAAAATTTTAATTACCTGAGAAACGACAACCGTATGCTTCAAGTCTAATGCATACAAAGCCTGGTGTATCACGATACGGATAGATACGAATCCATCGAGCTATCAATGGTGGGTCAAGTACAACAAATTTTGGCACTAAAGCGTCTAAACCGCCCAAAAGTCGAGAAATCTATAAATAAATAACAAATTAAAATGGAATACATCAATATGATGTGTTAAATGAATCAACGGATCTCTACAAATTCACACAACTCTGATGTAGTTCACAACATGGTTTGTTGGGTACTGACTGGAATGTTAAATTTACTGACTATTTTTGTCACAATAAGGTGTATTCAAAACTTCTAATGACTTAGACTCACAATACTACTCAGAAACACAAACAATGTTCCCACTACTCATCTATATTCTAATCATAAATGAGTCTGAAAAAACAGGATGAAAAACAAAGAATCTTGAATGAACATTTGTCCAACTTCAAATCACTTGATACAATGATTACATTAAGAACTTAATCAATAAAGCCTAACAACCATTTAGAACTGGAGACAGTATGATAATGGTCAACATTTTTATCAACAAATAGTGTAGTATATCTATATAATATGTTGAAGGAAACACTAAGCAGCGTAGACAATGACGTAATCAATAACAATTTCATGTAAAACTATATCAAGCAAAGTAACAACTCAAACCCAATAACACATGTAACACTATAAATGAAGAGACAGAAATGGAAAAACTACTTCATCGTTTTTTTTGGGTGGTAAACTTCTTAATCAACCCAATTAACCATAGGTTACATGTTGTTACTAAATTATAGAAGGAAAAATACTGTTCATTTCTTCTTGGAAAATTTACAAACAAATTCAGTATTCGTGGTGTAAGAAAACATACGCAGACATTATTTGATATAGAATTGATGGAATGCGACTAACAGCGGAATTCAGGACGCACTGTTCGTCCTATTTGAAACTTGTCAGCTGGATGTACCTGCATCCCAGAGTTGAGGTTCACTCCGGGACTCGGACCCAGTACAGTTCACTTTTAACTCTATCGGGTCATTCACTTAAATACTGAACCCAAATAATCACTCCCTAGTACAACGGGTATGAGATTTAATTCGATGTGAAATGGTTTAGATTATTTCAATGCTGATATTTTTAGATGAGATTTGATTAATCTTAGTTGGTATATGGTCATCCTGTACGGATAGCTTTGATATACCCATTACAACAAATGTTGGCGTAGAATAGATAGAATAGACATTAATTAAATAGATAAGAGTTATTATATTATATCAAATATAACTTGACTTGCTATGGAATTTAAAAGTGAGACAGAAAGCCTCAACTTATGTGTGGTCTTTGCATCAAGTGTTAGTAAACCGAGATCTTTTAAGAATGTCAGTATATGGATTCTACGAAATTCCTTTAAAAACCATAAATGTTATTGTAAAATTTTACAACTTGTTGTCACTGAACTGAGGAAGTTCGATATCTTTGGAAGGATTACAAGCTGTAAAAAAGAGTGGCTAATATATATGTAATCTACCTAAACCAGGATATACAAATAGAGAGAAGCTGAAATCTGTTATCCTATGACTACAGATTATATCGATTCCATCTTGATGTGTTGACATACAATGTGAAATCGTGGATTGATTCACATCTAGCCTAGATCCTACATTATTTATGATTGATAACTAATTAAATTATATCTTCAAATAACTTATAGCCAGGATTGAATTTATCTATAAGTTTAGCTATTTAAATTAAACACTAGTCCAACCAAATGTAGATAATGAGACTTATTGTAGGCAAATTCCTATACACTTACTAAAGTAGATAGTACTATAATGCAAAGAATATGATGAGAGAAAATATTTGAACAAGCAAGGGAAATAACTCCAAGTAACAACATTTCATTGAAACATTAAATTTACTGATTTCATTCAAATCTAAATCGGCTACATAATGTTCAGTGTTTGAAAACCTCTGAAACTGTTTGTGTGTCTGATTGTTTTTCATCTATCTGATTATGATCATTATTTCAAGTAAAAAGAAATGAGAACCATTTTTAGAAAATCAGGTCACATAATCAACCTATCAAAAATATACTTTGAATTATATTTATCACTTACAATAGTTGGACGAAGTTGTCGATAGGTTCTCCAATTCTCTTCATTAATTTCTCGTTTATATCGAATATAGAAGTATGGTGTATAACGACTGCCCTAAAAAATATTTTACAAAATAAGTGTACTTTTTAATTTTATCTACTAAAAAACAAACTTTATAAAACTAGCATTCTATCAATTACATTTTTTTTAAATACATAAGAAAGGGAAGTTTAGCGCATAGCTCTTACTTACTTACTTACTTACTTACTTACTTACTTACTTACTTACTTACTTACTTACTTACTTACTTACCTACGCCTGTTACCCTTGTTCGGGGTAATCCTTTTCATGTCTACTTCCAATTCTCAACAGTGTGTTCTTAGGCCTCCCACTTTTCTGTTTCCCTTCAGGATTCCACGTTAGGGATTGCCTCGTGATGCAGTTAGGTGATTTCCTCAATGTATGTTCTATCCACGTCCAACGTCTTTTCCTAATTTCCTCCTCAGCCGAAAGTTGGTTTGTCCTCTCCCGTAGTAGGCTGTTGCTAATGATATCCGACCAACGGATATAGAGTATCTTGCGCAAACAATTGTTTATAAATATTTGTACCTTTTTGATAATGTTTGTGGTAGTTCTTGATGTTTCAGCTCTGTACTATAGAACTGTCTTGACGTTCGTATTGAAGATCCTCACTTTGATGTTGGCTGGCAGTTGTTTTGAGTTCCATATGTTGTTCAACTGTATGAATGCTGTCCTTGTCTTTAAGTCTGCATCGGATCCTCCTTGTTTATCGATGACGTTGATCAGGTATGTGAAAGTTTCCACCTGTTCCAGAGCTTCTCCATCAAGTGTGATTGGGTTGATTTTCTCCGTGTTGTATTTCATAACATATAACTCATCACTGTCTGTTGACAAGTCAGAATAAATAGACAAGTCCACACCTTTTCTTTAGCTCAGTGTAACCATTCATGATATTAGTTTTTATTTCTAATTTGACATTTGGAAATCATTTTATTTTCAACGTGACATTTTGTTCACTGTATAACATTGGTTGATATTGAGTGTGAGATTTGACGTTGATTTGATCCTCAGAATAATATTTTATTCAATACGATATTGAATTTATATTTTCCGTATATTTTTATTTCAGGTCACTATGTTTCGTATTAATTAAGTGTACATTTTTGTTCAATATGACAAGCATGAACTTTGATTAATGTAACGATTATATCCTTGATATTACTCTCTGCAAACTTTATTTGTTTTAACATCGGAATTCATGAGTCGATTAAAGCTAAACCACCATTGAAAACTTAGAAGTACTGGACGGTCGTTTCGTCCTAGGATGGGACTCCTCAGTAGTGCGCATTCACGGTCCCGCATGTGGGACTCAAACCCAGAACCTTTGGTCTCATGCGCGAACGCTTAACCTGTAGACCACTGGACTGGAATCCAACGGTGTCAATGTCTAACTTCAATCGACTCATGATAATGCACAACGCCTCATCCATTATCTGAAGTGGATAACTGCCTACAACCGACACGGATTGAACTCCACTGGTCACAGCTTCTCACTAAAACTCCAGGAAATCCGTCTTGAAGCTAGTCACTAGTAGTTAAATCTTAAAGCCGTTGGATGTCGATTCACTGGTTTACAGGTTAAGCGTTCGCGCAAGAGACCAAAGGTCCCTGGGTTCGAGTCTCACGTGTGGGATCGTAGATGCGCACTATTGAGGTGTCCCATACTAGGACGAATCGGCCGTCCAGTACTTCCAGGTTTTCAATGTTATTTTGACTTTAATAGACTCATGAACTCAACTATTAAATTACTAAAATCGCCACAAATCCCCATTCTGGTAACCTTATTTGTGTTTACAGTAGACCTGTGTATCTTTACATTTATTTATTGGTTATTAACTAACCGTCAAGTTTATGTAAAATCAATAAATAAATAAATGTATTTGCTTTAACGTCGTCGTTGCGTTTATGAAATCAACAAACTTTCATCCCATCATTCTTCCGTGTTTTTATTTCGAGTTGTTGGAATTGTACTGATTTCTCGTTTTAGATATAATACTATTAGATGGGTAAATATCAGTTTTAATCGATCGAGCGGCTGCCTAGAACTTAAGGTATTCAACTTTCAACCATTAAGTCGTAAATTCAAGTCCAGTTCAATTTACTTACGTCTTCGCAGCCGGATAGTATCATTAACCTTCACAATTCGAGTGTGTAGCTAAAAACTGAGTAAACAAATCTGTATTTGGTGAATTGCGTAATAATTGAAACAGTAAATGTGAATTGATATCCATTAATATAATGTTGATTGTAGTATGTTAAATATATCTTCCAAATAGTTTACAACTACTCTAACAGATCTAGAAAGTAAACAACTTTTACACAGCCAACACTCAACATCATCAAATCACATTTTCATAAAGAACAACTCATGATCGTTTATCTATCATATGTATTTCTGAAGGGTATCATAAACTAGGAGTGAGATAAAGAAAATTCATCAGTTGGTTAATTGGATTCTATAATTTAGAATGAAAATAATTTGTCTAAAAATGATTATTGTTATCATTATTAATTTGTATAATTACTGGAGAGGAAAAAAATCTTTATTTTTTGTTCTTTATTGAAAAAAAAACAAATACTTACTCCACCTTCAGCGAGTAATCCACTTATAACAACTTTTGTTATAATATTTAATTCACCCATATCAATTTCAACATATTCATCACAGTCTGTACTGATACGTTTACCTGGACACCATGCAAAATCTGTATTTTCATTTCTAAATAAGAAATAATGAAATGGAAATAAAAGTAACAATTAATAATGATGAAGAGAAGGGTACATTAAATGTGATCAAGAAAATTGATTTATCGACTTTTCTATCAGACAACTGTATATTCTTAATTGAACATTACTGATTGTTCTATGAAATTATTCATTAGACAATAAATAATATAAGTCATTATAAGGGTTTGAATTATTCAACTGTTGATATTTACGACTGAATTTTGATTAGTCTTTATTGGCATATGTACATCCTGTGTGAATTATTTCAATATAGCCATTTTGTCGCAAATTTTTTTCGGATAAATGGGTTTTAGTTAGAAGTAGAATCAAACTTAGGACCTTCATATCTCATACTAAGCACTTGAACTTTAGACTGGTGAGACGGTATTAAATGGTTTGTCATTGCAAACTTGAGTACTGGCTACGAGACCTAAAGATATTATGTTCTATATCTGATGGGATAGTGAAGGTACATTGTTGAGGAGTTTTATACTGGAGTAAAACAGCTGTCTAATAATCCTCAGCTCCCATTGATTATTTAAACAACCTCAATTTCTTAAATAAACTACAAAAGAACACTATTTTAATTTACTAATACTATAGAATCAAATGAAGATCGAAAAGTGGATATTATGTACACCGGCTTTTATTTGAACTTTTAAACGTTTAACGTAAGTGACTCTATCATAAATGCAAAGTCTTAAATCGTTAATCTTCGTATAATAAACCCTTTTAATGTAAGTGATTTCTCTGTGTAGCACAATAATCATGTGTGTACTATATTTAAATGGAAAACGACGAAATACTATCCTTATCAGTGTACATATGGTGAAAGTATTCGTCAATCAAAATTTCTATAAAAACTTCATTCTTACAATAGAATTTATCGATTAAAACAGATTGAATATACCGATTAAAAAGGGTGTAACATTAAAAGGTTTTGGAGTTGGCACCTGTACCGTCACACAAGAGAGATGGAGGACGGAGGAGATTGTATGGTACGCTTAAAAACGTTTGTCACAGACGAAAATAAATTAATTATTGCAATGACTAATGAGTATTCCATCTGATCAGTGGGTACCATGATTTAAAATATTTAATACTGAACTGTATGTACATCTATTAGGAACAAAGATTTTAACAATCATGTACAAGTTATGTGTAAATTCTTACCGAATAGAATGCGCATTATAACGTTTAGCTCCTGACGGATCTACTACTTCACTGGTAGCATTGAACGCTGAGTCTGGAATTTGATGTCGATTGACTAAAAGTGATTGTATACATTTTGTTTTATCAAGATCATAATCATTCTGAATAAAGTTGACACCTGAATTAGACGATGCCAAAACAGATGAACACAGGTAAGTGGCAATAAGATCACTGATCACTACCAAACTGATTAGTGAATAGAACACTGAAAAATAATAAAATTTGATCAGAAAAAAACTGAACATCAATTCAATTAAATAAATTATTAAATTGTATTCATTGGAATTTCATTGGAGAAGCATCTCACTCTTAAAATTGAAAACGAAAAATCTTACCATATTGTGTAATACATCTGATGGATAGTGGGGACATGTTTCTAGAAACTAAATAATATATTTTTCTCATTAATGTTAATTCATAAGTAAACTTCTGGTTTACACCAATTGTAGGAAATACAATCTTACCTATACCAGCGTCTGTGTACTCAGTCATTATCATTTGAATGTTGTTGTTTTTTTAATTTTTGACATTCTGTCATCAGACTACTATTATGCCAACCACAACCGTAAATTTGATACGAATGTAGAAACGGAGAAGTATTAGTTTCTCCCCCACACACACACCTTAAATATGCCCTCTTACGTGTTCACAACTATATGTTGACAAATTCCGGTGGCATAGTATTATTTTGAAAAGATAAATAATGAACGGATTTGTAAGAACAACAAGAATTTATTCATCAACAAACAAATAAGCACCAAAGGTATTTATTTAAATTATACTCATCTAAGATATCAGAAACTATGAAGATTTAGAATGTCTGAATTCCTAGATTAAGCGAATATTACATTTCATTTGCTTAACCTCAAACCTACGGTGTGTCAAAGTCTAAACAAGCTATCATCACAGAAGATAATATGAATTAGTCTTGATCAACTGCATAGACCTTCATGTTTATTTTGAATATTATTCACTTGATAAATCCACAGATCAGTAGTCTGTTGAACAGGGCTCCCCGGCACCATATGACTCATTAGATCCAATGGTGAGACAATATAAACACCTATGAGTAAAAACAGATATAGTTGACAACGGAATAGGCTCACATTAATCAGACAAATACCGTTGCTCTTTTTAACACTATTTTAGTACTTTTATGCACTAAAACACATAGATGAATTATTATTGTGATTATTATTACTCAGAAATAAAGGCACAAAACCATATTACCTACCAATTATGTGCAATGTTTCTAATATTAATAACTCAAAGTTACAGAGTAGAAAACAAAGAACTATACATATTCAAATCTTATGTTATCATCTCAAAAAGGGTAAATTGATAAAAATACCAACTCATCGATTTTCATTCTTGAATAGTCTTTTTAATTAACCACTAATTTAACAAAAATCATTCGAAACTTTAATTACATTAGCAGAGTACTCTAGTATAATATATATTTAGAGGAGTAAGACAACTCCGCCTGGAGTCCCTCCGGGGGCCACCGCCGATCCCAAGCCCGGATAAAGGAGGAGGGTTGGGCATGGAGTTAGCGGCCCCATCCCGTAGAAAACTAATCCGCTAAAAAAACGCTAACCAGAGGAGTACGACGACATAATCAAATGACTGAATAAATTTCAAATTACGTATCAGTTAGTTATTGAATAGTAACTTATAACATCAGTTTAGAAATCAATCAGAAACTAGTAGGAAACAGTTTGAATTACTGTCAATATACTAAAATGTACAATACATCATAGACAGATTAGTTCTATATTTCACTCAATTTGCTCATTGAGCTCTATTGATGACATTAATGAATTTTTCAAGTATAATTCGGATTATTATTATTATTCTAAAAATTCCATACAATATTAATACAGATAAGTTTTATTGAGAATTAGAGGGATTTAAAATGCTTCAGTTATTCACCTTTCTTTAGGATTAAGAAAAACCATTCTAAAGTATTTAAGTAAATTTAGCAATCAGTTATCAAATGTTGAACATGATTTCATCTGAATAGATGAGAACTAGAATAATTGAAAAGGGTAAAGTGAATTCAATCAATATTCTTATGATTTATAGTAATAATTTAGTAACTGGAATCATTGAAAAACATCATTCCGGTTTGTTTCTTTTCTATTAAAAATAACAAAGAGAAAAATTAACAGCACAAAGGAAGGAGAAGACGGTCGAAAAAAAAACTCAAGTTTAGGTCAGTGATATACAAGACGTTCAATGATAAGTCTGTTTAAACAATCATGTTACAAAGGTATTCGAATGTATAAAAGTGTGTCAAAATTTCAGATGAAATAGATCAGACCGAATATAACTAATCTAGTCACTTAGTTTACATGAAAAATTTATCTGAGTTAAATCACTGATAAAAATTCGGAAGTGGATAACTATTTCATTAATAGGTAAGCGGCTCACATTCGGCATAACTGAACTCCATTGATTAGTGACGGCTCCTCTCTAGAATCCTAAGAATTATCTCTGACGTTTAGTCGTCAAGCAATATTTTCGATATTTATAGCCAGTAATCAACTGGTCAATCTGAGTAACTATATACTGATTTCCGATCATTATTGATAGTCAGGAGAGTTCAGACAGTAATAAAAATTTTAGTACAGGGTGATTTTGTGAGGACTGTAGAATTTTCATCGTTTAGATCACGGACTGATGATAGGTAGACCGCTATTGGAAACCTAAAAGCACTAAATGGTCGTTTTGTCTTCGTATGAAAATCCTATGCCAAGATTAATTCGTGATTTAAACTACAATCTCTACAAATCCTCATATGCTAATGATAATCACATCCTCACTAGTGAACAGCTTCAGGATGCAACTCTTATTTTTCTAGTGAGAATCACTGACCAGTAGAGTTCAACCATGTTTTAATGGGTATCTAGCTAAGATTATTTCGTGATTTGAACCATAATAATAAAATTATTTGCTTAATCTATGCATAAACACGTTAACTACAACATAAATAATCGTATGGGTTAGAACAACGGTTATATATGAATCGATATCAAACTTTCAGTGATTATCATCGGATTCCAGCGATTCTAAATCATTAATACTAATGAAAGATTATATAAGAACTCAAAAAGTTTTTCCAATAATGAAATGTCATAGTAACAGTTAATAATAATAATAATAATAATAATAATAATAATAATAATAATAAAACTGTTAGATGAAGCACACACACACACACACACGATTTTCTGTGCACAACTAATCCTCGCCAAAAAATAAAAATTATCATCTATTCATAATCACGCGTCGATAAGAAAAAAAAAGAAGTAAAGCATTGACACGATAAAAGAATAAATAATGATCAATGTTCAAATATATTTGTACGTATATATGACCTCAATTAACCTACAAAATATTGTACACGTATATCTCTCCTCGAGTCTTCTAAAATTACGTGTGTGTGTGTGTGTCTCCGCGTATGTATGGAAAAGAAACGTGTGACAACCTCAATTAGAGTGATAATTAAAACTGAAAAAGAAACACTAATCATTATTTAGATTTCATGATGAAATGAAAAAGCGTTTCAATGATGTAAGAACACAATAACAACAATCGCTGACCGATAAAAAATTGAATCATCATCATCACTACATGGAATAATCACCCTGACATTCTAATCCAGTTGATGAATGACACATATACAAAATGGAATGTAAGCAAAATATAAATATATAAAAAGAACCCCAACTTTATTTTATTTCTCTTGGTTATTTGCTTTTATCACCATTATTATTTACCCTTACACAACATGCTTGAATAAGCGCATAAGATGTGGGAAAATAAGTCAATAAATAATGAACTACGTATATATAGATGTAGAAATGAATGATTGGGCAGATGAGTATTTCATTTCTACCTTATAAAAATTTTGGTAATTTTTACACGTTCAATTACTTGTTACTCTCTCTCTCTTCCTCTTTCTCTGTGCATAACTTAACAAAAAGAACACTTACATACAATGTCAACATACAGTTGTTATTGTAAGTGAATATTATTATTTAGACAAGTGAAATGTAGAAAGTACAAAAACATAAGCTTCATGTTTTATGTTTAAATTTTTTGAATACTATGACACCATTAATTCATCATCTTAACAATTGATCCCGAAAGAAACTGACCGTCCTAGATAATGATAGTAAGAATATTTAAATTTCAAAGTTGGGTAGATAAAGAGAAATTGTTGATATATAAATAAAGAGTTTAACATTAAGGAATTAATATCACGCTGTATTCATTAGATGGTTTGAAGTACAATCATCAACAACAGTTGCATGTGTATGTTAAGATAACTAATAAGTTCAGATTACGATTCAAAGAATATGCAATGACCTAATACATAGTGATTGATTAATTAACATCGATTAATGTACACTGATTAGTCACTGAGTAGTGGTAATGGCTAGTAACATGATTATCTAATCCATAGTGTTAATTGAATTATGTCAATAAAGTTAAAATATGTCCAGTAATCTAAAGGGTTCAACATAGTGTGGACTATGTTGAGCTGTTAAGTGGTTGGATATATTCGGTAGGTCTAGTGCTAGATGACACTCGTCAGTAAAACGTATCTGGAATCTTGAGGAGACAAGTGCTTCCTGTGAGATTCGTGCCAGGTATTCGACCTCCAACTGACATGTAATAGAACCACTTAGACAGACAGGATTAGATAAACATGATATTGACAATTACTCAGCTATCAGTCAGTTTTATCAAGCAAGTCGAATACGAGGTCAGTCAAGATCCGAATAGTTCGGTGATGAATTACAGATTCGAAAGCACACCCAATAATTATTATGCTACAAATCATGTGAATTGGTCGACACTGAGAATATGGATCATTAAAATCCAATTTAATAGTCTTTCCACGGGGTCCTGAAGGTTCTGGGATTGATTTCTACATCTGTGATGCTATGTTATTGACCTATTTATTCATGTGTCACTGAAACATAAACAGTAAAAAATTGAGAAGAAACTAATCGTTAACTTATCTTTAGATAAATATAACAACATATGTTTATGATAATTCTTATCAAGAGTCAGAACACTGTATTGTATAAATTTCAAATATATGCAAGGAGATTCAAACACAAGTGCTTATACCCCTTTTTTATTTCATAAGTCCTGATTTCTTTGTGAAGTTTGATTATGTAAAGAAGGTCG